CGTCCATCCCCGGAGCAGGAAAGGCGCCTTGCTCGCTCAGGAATGCACGTGCGCCAATCTTCATGCTCATCCCTGCGGCTGCATTTTCATGGTCACATGAGCCCTAACTGAGCGCAGATTTAGAAGAAGAGTGAAACCACGTCCTCATCACAGATGGGTGTTGAATTTTACAGGGCTTAGCATCAACGGGTTCTCCAGTTTGTGCTGACGTCTAAGAGAACTGGGCATGAGCAAAACTATTGGCTAATCCCGTACCATTCCGTTTTACCAAATCAATACTTGCATGAACGAAATAAGCTCTGTTTATAGTGGGCTTCCTCAGTTGGGAGCTTTTCAAGAGTGAGATGTTAGCTGTGTTATCTTAACCCACCAGAGCAGCAGGACACAAGCTGCGTCCTATTTTCTAAATTGTATCCCTGCCCCCAAATCAGGAGCAGCTGAGACAGGGCCAGCTCAGGGACCAGGGACAGAGAATGTGTCGCTTTCCATGTGTTTCTGACGGTTCGGTGCTGTTTCTTTCCAGGTGAGACCCAACGGCGTCCCTGCGGTCAGACTGGAATCACCGTCAAAGAGCGACCCGTTTGAAGACCTGTCACTTAGTTTGCTGGCCGTGTCACAGGCCCAGCCGCCTGTGCACCCCGCCCCTGTCCTCACCCCGGGCCCCAGGGGGGTGGTCCCCCTGCCTCCTGCAACATCAAGTGACATCAGCATTTTGAGTTCTGTGAGCTGCATGCCAACACTGCCTCCACTTCCCGTGCGGAGCCAATCCCAGGAGAACATGCGCTGCTCTCCGAACCCATTTGCCCCGACCTTCCCTGGCACCGACCTCTTCGCCAGCAGGACGAACCCATTCAGAGCCCCGTCCAGGGATGCAGAGGCGGCAGCACAGCCCATGGAGCCCGTCCCCTGCCCTCCCCTCCCTCCTCCCGGGCCTCGGGGCCAGAGCAGCGGCAAGCCTCCTGCTCAGCCCCCCGGCTTCCAGGACAGCTCCGACCCGCAGGCCCCGGCCACAGCGAGCGCCAGCCCCCCGAGGGGGTGGGTCACCTTCGAGGAAGAGGAGGACTTTGGTGTGAGAGCCAAGTTGAAGGCAGCTTGTCCAGACTCCCTGGGCCCTCGGCCAGGCCCGTCCTCCGGCCCAGGCGTGACCTTTGGAGATGACTGGTGTCAAGGGACAGGTGTTCCCACCTGTGTGCTGCCCTCGCGGAGGCCACCCCCGCCTCCCGGTTCTGCGCTCCCCGCAGGCCCCGCCCCTCCAGCCGACCCTTTCGCCGCTCTGGCCCCCGTGGCTCCCGCTGTAGACTTCACGGAAAGATAGCCCAGGGGACAGCGCTCCGTGTGCTGGGCAGAGCGAGATAACCGAGCACTGTTATTCGTTACGTGCAATAGTCCCTGTTCCTGCACTGATGTCCAGAAATACCACTGTGTCACGTGTACAGAGTTGGCGTATGTGTATATTGGAAATAGGGGAAACCCTTCTCATTATTAACGGAGTTCTGGTGTGTTCTGTTTGGATAACTGAGAGCAGTAGCCATAAAAAGTGCTCAGAACTACTCTGGGAAGTAGACCCCACTCAGATCCTCGTGAGGCCCCCAAGAATCTCAGAAAGACTCGCAGCTCCCCGCGGGCCTGGCTCCGCCCTCACGAGCAGTCACCGAAGAGCTGTCCTCGGGGTGGACGCTGAACCGGACTGAGAGGCATTGCTAGAGAGAGTGAGTGACACATGCGCACACACAGTCTAACACTCACCTAAACTCTAGGGCGTGACTCAGACCAAATCTGTATCTAAAAGTTCTGAGAGTTCTTGTTTCAATATTTCATTATCAGATGGACCGCTGTAAGTGAAATTTGGACATTAATTTTCTTTCCAAAACTAAAATAACCGTTACTCCTGAAACAGCATTTTCTCTCCTTGCACGCGTGCGCGCACACCTCGGCACTCCCCACTCCAGGCCCCGGGCCCTCCCTCTGGGACGGCTCCTGGCAGCTGGAAGCACGTGTCGCAGTCACTGTCCCGCACACTCCAGCCCTTTCCAAGGAGCCGATGGCCGTGTCTGCGAGGCACAGGCCAGGGGTTCAGGGAGGAATTCGGCGCCAAGTGCCCTCTCTCTCTGTACATGACGGCGTGTGCTGCCTGCTGCCTCCTCCACCCCCAGTCCCTGCTCCCGGCTTCCTCAGCAGGGCGAGCAGGGGGAGCGGCTTGCTCTGAACTGGGGCTGCCCGGAGGGGCTGGGGCCCACCAGAGCTGCTGGAAGCTCTCCGGCGCCTCCTGGCCGCGGATTCCCTCTCCTGCTCGGCTGCACCCACTGACCCCGCTTCTGTTCGTGTTTTGAAGTACACGGAATTTTTAAGAATGTAGTCTTTTGATATCATTAAGTAATCCCAATCAGAAAATCCGTGAGCAGTGGTTTTGTTGTCAGTTTAAGCGAAAGTCCTCTGTACCCATAAGACTGACGTTAGCGCTCCTTTCTATAGAGCGCTGTGTGTGTCCACCGACACCCCGCGTCCTCATTGGACCTCACTGATGTGCGTGGGGGGTGGCAGGAAGCAGGGTCCGTGGGAAGAACGTGGAAAGCACAGAACGGCATTGCACTTCCCCACAGAAAGCAAATCCATAGGCAAAGCTCTTCCCTAGATGCTTAAATGCTATCACACTCTATTTACAGAAGTCATCCTGTTAACAGCCAGGAACTTGTGAGTTTTCTGTTGTGCTTTTTGGGGTTCTAAGCATTTCAGCATCAGTATACCTTAAACGGCAGTATTCCTCTCAGCGATATGCTTCAAATGTGAACTAAGTTGTCCCAACTGTGGCTTTAGCTTCTATGTGATTAGTGTGTGGTATTTGCTCTCTATTAGACAAACAGTTCCTTACCCACAACAGCGGCTCCGTGAGCAGTCTCCCGGGGAACCCGAACTACTGCCTGAAACACACACGCCGTGCGGCACCGTGGCCTTTATCGGAAACTGTATTCGGCAAGTTGCTGAAAGTGCACAAAGCTACGGAAGTTAAAGGTACGCTGCCAATAACTGGCCATTATTCTGTGTCTTACTGAAATACCCACCAGTTCTATTAAAAGCAGAGCAGAATTTAGACACTAAGGCTCTCTGTGAATTCTTTGTTCTCGATAATAGATTGCTGTTTATATTTAAGAACTTTATTGCTTATGTGGCATATGATATTTATAACTACTTTATAGAAGTATATATTACAGTCAGTGGTATACATTCTGTACATATCCTGTGAAATGTGCTGTCATATGAAATAAATAGACCTTCTTTACCATATCGACCACGTTGCTCAGAAGGGAAGAGTTTTTCTCAGCTGTCTTCCTTGACCTTTACTTGACATGTACAAGTTAGGATTAACTCTTGTCAAATCAGGTATTTTAGTTCAAGATCTTATTTTCATCCATTTTACGTCTCAATACTCTGAGAAGAAAGATATTGAGATTAGTGATCATCATTTAGAAGCCCGTGCACTTATTCTGTATACTAGAGGCTCAGTGCATGAAATTCATGCACAGGGCAGGGGGGTGTCCCTCAGCCTGGCCTGCACCCTCTCCAATCCAGGACCCCTTGGGGGATGTCCGACTGCGGTTTAGGCCTGATCCCCTGTAGCAGTCAGACGTCCCTCTCACAATCTGGGACTGCTGGCTCCTAACCGCTCGCCTGCCTGCCCACCTGATCACCCCTAACCACTCTGCCTGCTGGCCTGATGCCCCTAACTGCTCCCCTGCCTGCCTAATCACCCCTAACTGTTCTCCCCTGCTGGCCTGATCACCCCTGACCGCCTCTGCTTCGGCCCCCCCCCACCATGGCTTTGTCCGGAAGATGCCTGGTCTAATTAGCATATTACCCTTTTATTAATATATATATGCAGTTGTAAGAAATAAAAGATCCCAGGTACCCTTTACCCAGTTGTCCCTAGTGGATGCATTTTGCACAACTCTAGTACAGCACCCCAACCAGGATATGGCATGGGTACAAAACATTTTCATCTCTGCAAAGGTTCTCCCTCACGCTGCCCTTTTCCCACATCCTCCGGTCCCATCACCCTTCCCCTTGTCCATAACTTCTGGTAACCACTAATCTATTCTCCGTTTCTGTAATTTTTGCCACTTCGAGAATTTTATATAAATGGATTCTGGCCAGCATGGCTCAGTGGTTGAGCATCCACCTATGAACCAGGAGGTCACGGTTGGATTCCTGGTCAGGACACATAACCGGGTTGAGGGCTCCATCCCCAGTGTGGGTTGCGCAGGAGGCAGCCGATCCATGATCCTCATCTCTGATGTTTCTCTCCCTCTCACTCTCCCAATCTGAAATAAAAATATACTTTTAAAACAAAGACATGGGTCCACATGGCATGTAACCGTTTTCACCGCACAGTTCCCTGGAGAGCCCTCCGGAGCAGAGCGTGTGTCAACAGTCCGCTTCCTTGATCGCCAAGGATTCCGCTGGTCCCCGCGAGGGGAGAGGAGTTGGCCTCGTGAGCGCCCCGCCAGCTCCGGGCCTGAGGCCACCCCTCCCCTGCCCCGCCCCGCCCGCCAGGGTGCGGATTGCGGGGGGGGGGGGGGGGGGAGCCCCAGCTTCCGAAGGGGCGTGGCAGGCGCTGGGAATCTTCCAGTCCGTTCACCGCGGCGTGGCCGCTCCCGGGGGACACCGGGGGGGAGCCTGGCTGCCAGGGACGCAGCCAACGTCTCCCGCAAGCAGGGCACCCCCGACCCCCGACACAGGCAGCGGCGCCCGCCCGCTTCCCCGGCGCCCTATGTGCAGGCGCCTCGTCCCGGCTCGTGGCGGCCGCTTCTCTCGGTCACTCGCGGCGCAGAAGCTGCGAGGCCACCGTGACCGGCCCCGCCGGCCAGGCGACTCGGGGCGGCCGCCCCTGGAGCTACGGACACGTCCCCGGCGCCTGGGGGCCGGACCTGCGGAGCGGCCACCACCGGGTCGCCGCGCTCGCTACCCGAGCGTCCGGACCGGAAGCAGCGGGGCGTTTCCGGAAGTCGGCGCTGCAGGGGGCGGAAGTGCTGCTGAACCGGGGCGCGAGGAAGGTGTCGTGGGGCCGGACCTGCCCGCGCTCACCTCCCGCCCGCTCCGACCCGACAGCCTCCGCCCGTCCGTCCTCCGGGACTCGGCCCGGGCGAGTGGACTCACTGGGCGAACCGCTGCCCCCGCGGCTCCGTCTGTTGGGAGCGTTGCCCGGACAACAGTCACTTCCGGAGGCGGGGCGAGCCCGCCGGCTGGTCGGGCCGCGGCTCCGTGCGGGTCTCGGCGGCGGCGCTTGGCCCAGGCCTGGTCGCCGGCTCCCCGCGTACTGAGCCTCCCGACCCGGGTTTGGACTGGAGCAGCCGCTCCCCGCTCCCCGCCCCCCCCTCCCAAGACGCTGTGTTTCTTCGTTGCTCCTGGCAACAGTCACTTCCGGGAGCCAGTGCAGTTCCCGCGACCCCGCGGGCCCGGAGCCTGGGTTCCGGACGGCGCGGCGGTTCGTCGGGCGGCGGCGGCCCGCGCGGGCGGAGGGGCGGCCATGGTGCTGCTGCACGTGAAGCGCGGCGACGAGAGCCAGTTCCTGCTGCGGGCGCCGGGGAGCGCGGGGCTCGGGGCGCTCACGGAGCAGGCGGCCCGCGTCTACAACGCGCGGCTCAAGGTGCAGCGCGTCTGCTCAGGTGCGGCCTGCGGGCGGGGCCGGGGGCCGAGGAGGCCCTGGGTGTCTCGGCCAGGGTTGGGGCGCTGCGGGGGGCCCCCTGGAGCCTCCGGGTGGAGAGGGAAGAGCCCAGGCGGGGCCCCAGAGGCCGGGCGAAGAGCAGGTGGGACGGGGCGAGCGCGGGCGTTTGAAGAGAGAGACGGTGCTGGGGGCCCGAGTGGAGCACTTATCGGTGGGAGACCGGCCGGGCCGCCCCCCAGGTGCGAGCCAGGCCCGCGGGGCCTCCCCCCAACCCCTCACCCCGCGCGATGTCCTGGTCGCCGCCTCCGCACACTGGACGGCGCTGTCCGAGGGCACTGGCCCCGCTTGCGCCGCCCCTAAGGGTCCACCGGCCACAGGGGCCCCGGAGCGGCATTTGAATGTATTTCATTTTAATTCCGTAGCTGCCTTCCTAGACGCACGGAGCTGGGGTGCCCTGGGGAGCGCCGGAAGGGGCGTGGTCTGTCTTTATGAAGAATACTTACCGCTTATCCGTAAAATGTCCTTATCCCAAAACAAGCTCCACAGTAAATGTTATTTTAAAATTAAAGCATTTGGGGGAGAAAGGGGACTCGACTTATTTTTATAAAATGGCCGTTGAAAATGTGGCGCTGAGTGTGGGCACGTAGAGCACTAGTGTCCCTGCGTTTTCTCTACACGTGGCCATTGTCCACCGCCGTCCAGACAGGCCTGGCCCGAGCCAGACAGCGAGGGGGCGGGGCCCGGGGCTCGGGCTGGGGGGTCATGACCACTCCGTGCAGTTCCACCCCATGCGGCGGCTCCACGGTCCCTGTGCCCCTTTCTAGTTCAGGGGGAAGGGAGGGGGGAGAGAGGGAGGCAGAAGGAAGGAAATATCGTCAGGTTGAAATGCGGACAGTTTGGGAGTGACGGTGGAATAGAAAACAAAGCCGTCGTCTGAGTAGAACCGGGGACTGGCCCTGTCTCCACTCCCAGGTGCCAGCTGCCTGCAGTCCTCCCGCTGGGTGGGTTCGCATAAATGACTCGTAAAGTGTTTTTCTCAAGTTGTCTGTAAAACAGCGGCCGGCGGACCTGAGCCAGCCTCGGGCCACAGCTGTAGCGGGGGAGGTGGGTGTTGGTAAGTCACCGGGAGTGGGTGCCCGTGGGGGTGTGTGCAGACGGCGGCGAACTTCAACCTGTGCCTCCTGAGCCCCGGGGAGCACAGCACAGCGCACAGGCCACGCTCGGCCGCCGCCCCCGGCCCGCCGGCCCCCGGCCCGCCGCCCCCAGTCCCCGGCCCCTGGCCCCCGGCCCGCCTCCCCCGGCCCCCGGTCCGCTGCCCCCGGCCCCCGGCCTCCCCCAGCCCGCCGCCGGGACCGGGACCGGGCGAGCTCCCGGGTCTCTGCGCCGCCGCGGACCTCGGACGGGAAGGTCATGTGCTAAAGGTCACGTAGGGGCTGGCACACGTCAGGCAGCTAAGCCACCGGCAGACCCCTCACCGAGGAGGCGCCGGGTGTCCGTGCCCATCGGGAACACGTGCTGTCTTTCTCGTTTGTAAGAAATGGAGGAGCTGGCGGAACACGGCGTGTTTCTGCCTCCGAACATGCAAGGCCTGACGGACGAGCAGATTGAGGAGCTGAAGCTCAGAGACGAGTGGGGTGAGAAGTGCGTGCCCAGCGGAGGCGCCGTGTTCAAGAAGGACGACGTGGGGCGCAGGAACGGCCACGGTAATCGCTCTTCCTCCGCGGGCCTGACCCACGGCCGGGGCGTGTTCAGGCGCGGAGCTCAGCGTTTCCGCGAAGCCAGGAGCACTGGCCCCGGTGGGTCAGGGGTGAGGAAAGCGCCGGTCTCCCTCGTGTCGCCGCTGGCTTGTAACATTTCGGATGAGCCATGTGAAGTTGCCATTGTTGTGGGTCACAAATGGTTGAAAATTGGCGATTTCGTATGGTACAGCCTGAGTTTTGGGGGGAATCTCTGAAAACGTATGGAAGGGTGTTTTGTTACGATGGGCAGAACTGGCTTCATTTAGGGCAGTGGTTGTCAACCTTCTGGCCCTTTCAATACAGCTCCTCATGTGGTGACCCAACCATAAAATTATTTTCGTTGCTACTTCATCACTGTCATGTTGCTACTGTTATGATCGTCATGTAAATATCTGATCTGCAGGATGGTCTTAGGCGACCCCTGTGAAAGGGTCGTTCGACCGCCAAAGGGGTCGCGACCCACAGGTTGAGAACCGCTGACGTAGAGGTTTGTGGGAAGAGGCAGTGACAGCTCCAGGTCTCCCCTGGGTCTCCGTCACCCGCTCGGGTGCACCCAGGACAGGACGCGCCCGGTCAGCGGGTGGCTGAGCCTGCGGGTCTGATGACGAGGGGCGGTGACTCCTGCACCTGCCCAGCAGCAGCAGTTACATCAGTGTCACCAGCAAACACTGTCCGCTGCGCCCAACACAGGAGCAAAGAGATACAACACGTCCTGCACACGTGGTCTCTGCCCGCTCACCTAGACGTGTACTAGTATGTGCGCACTCACCTAGAGGTGTGTGCTCACCCAGACGTGTGTGCGCACTCACCCAGACGTGTGCGCGCGCTCACCTAGACGTGTACTAGTATGTGCGCGCTCACTAGAGGCGTGTGCTCACCTAGACATGTACGCACACTCACCCAGACGTGTGCGCGCGCTCACCTAGACGTGTACTAGTATGTGCGCGCTCACTAGAGGCGTGTGCTCACCTAGACATGTACGCACACTCACCCAGACGTGTGCGCGCGCTCACCTAGACGTGTACTAGTATGTGCGTGCTCACTAGAGGTGTGTGCTCACCTAGACATGTACGCACACTCACCCAGACGTGTGCGTGCGCTCACCTAGACACGTATGTTTTTCATTTCATATGTAAACACGTGTTTGGGGGATAATAGGAATTTCTAGCACTTCCTGTGCCTCTGCCTGGGAAGTGGCTGGTTGGCTTCCATACCTGTTCAGGCCTAAACTCGCTCTCACCCTGGAGAGTCTTTGCTTTTTGAAGGAATTGCATCAGTGAAAAAACAGTCCTGAAGACAGTGTTCTGAGTGTCCAGTGCTTTCAGTGTCTCGTTAGCACTGTTCTCACGAATGTGAGGAGTGAAACTGCCCGTCTCCCTTAGGTCTGGACGTTCCGTCTCCGTTGTTTTTCAAGTTATGACTTTTTCCCCGTTAGGGCTGAGCAGCTCTGGGCCCTGAGCCCAACCCCACTGCACCTGCTTCTGTAAAGCTGCCCCCCCCGCCCCCCCACCTGTCTCAGCAGCGCCTGTGGCTGCCGTCACACTGAGTGGTGGCCAGAGAGACTCACCACGCGGCTGAAATGTGTGCTGGGCCTCACAGCTCCTGCTCTGTGTGCTTTTGCCCCTGTGCGTGGAGCACCCACCCGTCTGCACGGCCAGCCATCGGTCCCTTCGCACCCCCCCTGCCCCCACGAAGCCGGGTTTCGTCTCATGTCGCCTGCTCCCGCCTCCGACGAAGGCTGGGACATTCGGAGCGTGTTACGTGTTAACGGTGGCGTCTCCCCCTCCCTGTTTCTGCAGCTCCAAACGAAAAGATGAAGGACGTCCTGAAGAAGACGATAGAAGAAGCCAAAGCGATGATCTCCAAGGTGAGCCTGTCCTGTGAGGCAGCCGAGTCCCCGCCCACCAGCCTCCCTTTCCTGCTGCTTTTAAGCCTCCAGGGGCGAGTGAGGGGCCCTGGCCTCCTCTCCTCCCATGGCACAGCCGTTCGCCCTGCCCCTCCCGTCCCCAGCCAGCAGGATGCGCGGCTCGAGTAGGTGGCTCCCTGTGGAGCCCGTGGGCATGAGGCCGTGCTGCCTCCTCCCTCCGCCCTGGGATGAACTGAGAAGCCAGCAGCCAGCCCCGAGGTGGGCCCGCGCTGGGTCCAGGAGCTGGATCGGTGCCTGTGACCTGATGGGCTGCCGCTTTCAGAAACAAGTGGAAGCCGGTGTCTGCGTTACCATGGAGATGGTGCAGGACGCCCTGGACCAGCTGCGGGGGGCAGTGATGATTGTGTATCCCATGGGCTTGCCGCCCTACGACCCCATCCGGATGGAGTTTGAAAATAAGGAAGACTTGTCGGGAACTCAGGTGTGTGGCTCTCCGCCAGCGAGCTCACCCCGAGCAGGGCCCGGCCTTCACCCTCCTCTTCCGGGGGCAGCTTTTGCTCAGAGGGGAGTTCTGAACTGGGGGGAGGTGGGCCCAGAGGGTGGTGTGCACGGCCGAGGGCGTGGCTCACACCCGGGTGGAGAGAGGCTTGGGAGGCTGCCCCTCGGCAGGAACTGAGACGTTGCCTTTTGGGGGCCACCGGAAGCCGGAACCCTACCTTGTGCCTGTTTGCACCCAACGTTTAGGTCCCTCTGTGTGAACTCTGTGTTCCAGCCCTTCCGCTTGTTTCGTGTTCTTTTCTCCCCTTTCTGTCTCATTTCTTCCTTGTTCTGTGGGGAGAGCGTTCCCTGAGCATCTCCCACAGGGGGGTGCACAGGAGCCGGCAGGCACCCCACTGGGCCACTGAAGACCCGGCAGATCCCCGGCCGCCTCACTCCATTCCGAGGGGCCATGCATCCCGATGAGGCTGCAGCCGAGACAGGGCTCGCCCCTTCCCTGCGCAGGGAGTTCAGCGTCAGGGCGGGCGCTGAAACTGACGGAGGGCGCCCACCGGGGAGGGCCCTGAGGTGGGGAGTCCGTGCCCCCGGGGGCTCGGGCAGGAGGGCAGGTCCTGGAAGCCGGCCCCACGCTCACAGGGCACCGGCCTGGCTCCCGGCGCCGGGGAGACCGCGTGCGAGTGTGTCCTCTGACCTGAGCGGTTCTCCCGTGGCCCAGGCCGCACTGAGCGTGATCGCGGAGCCGGACGCGCAGCTGTGGTGGGCCGCCAAGGAGCTGCGGAGGACGAAGACGCTGTCGGACTACGTGGGCCGGAACGAGAAGACCAAGATCATCGTCAAGATTCAGCAGGTGAGCGCGTCCGCGTGCCGATTCCCGGTCACTTTCACACTGACCCACGTTAGGACGAGTCTCCACGTTGAAGCTCCTTAACGCCGTTGGCCTGGACTTCAGGCAAACTTCCCCTTCATCTCCCCCTCCCCGCCGACTGGAGGGAACCGGAGCAATTGACAGCGTCGGGAGCCGTTCTCCTGGGGACGGGCTGGCCGTGTTCGTTTCAACGTTAAGACCGTGGCTGCCCTAACGGTCTTGCTCAGTGGATAGCGCATCGGCCTGAGGCTGAAGTGTCCCGGGTTCGATTCCAGTCACGGGCACATATCGGGGCTGCAGGCTCCATCCCCAGTGTGGGGCGTGCAGGAGGCAGCCGATCAGTGGTTCTCTCATTATTGATCTTTCTCTCTCTCTCCCTCTCCCTTCTTCTCTGAAATCAATAAAAAATGTATTTTTTTTTAAAAGAACTAGGGCCATAATAGTGAAAATACTTGTCGAAATGCACAGCCGCCTGAGCACCCGGCCCAGCCCCCAGGTGCTGCCGTCTAGGAGGAGGGTCGGCGCTGCAGGGCTGTTGTGGCCGCGGCGCCCAACCATCTCCCATCTGCCCTCCCCCTGGGCTGCAGGCTGATGTGGGCCAGCCCTGGTCTGTCCTCCACGGGGGCCAGAGCGGGCGATGGAAGCTCAGGCCCCGGGACTTGCGGTCGACCTATTAACCTCTGCAGGTGACACGCTCACTGTCACCTCCTGGTCGTGGAGCCTAACCGTGCTCTCCTGTCTTCGCAGAGGGGACAGGGCGCGCCTGCCCGGGAGCCGGTGATCAGCAGCGAGGAGCAGAAACAGCTGATGCTGTTCTACCACCGCCGGCAGGAGGAGCTCAAGGTGCGGGAGCCCGTGTCCACACACATGTACATGCACATGCACGCACACGTGTATACACACACACACACACACACACTCGCTTCCCCCAGGGGTCAGCAGTGCTGCAGGGGGGCTTTCCAGAGCTTCAGCCTCTCCTGGGCTGTGGGTCCTGCCAGCCCCCCTCCCCGCCCCCCATAGAGTCCGGAAGCGTCCTGCTTGGGCTGGAGGAGGTTACAGGCTCATCTTCTGTCTCAATAAAACATTTCTTTCCAGAAACTGGAGGAAAATGATGACGACTCGTGTTTGAACTCTCCGTGGGCCGACAACACTGCTCTGAAAAGACATTTTCAAGGCGTGAAGGACATCAGGTGGAGACCAAGATGAAGCTTCTAGAAGCCCTAGCTCCTCTCTGTAGGCAAACAGTAACCATAGTAACAGTGATGAAGGTGACCGGTCGCACAGCCCTCATGAAAGACTGAAAGACGTTGGAATTTCCAGGTTTCCTAGTTTCTGAGTTTGAGTTTTTACGATAAAATGTATTAAAGGTCATAGAACTTAAACACGTCCTCGGAGAGTCTGCCTGCGCCTCCGCTCGGGCTGTTTGCCTGTGGGGGCCTCCTGGGGCGGGTCCGGAGGATGACTGCTCCCTCCGTCTGTCTGTCCTGCGGGGCCTGGCGTCTGCTCTCAGCCGCTGCCCTGGAGCAGAGCTCAGCATCCGTGGCCACTAGAGGGCGCCGTCGCCTCCCATTTTCTTGGGCTGCAGGTCTGTCGGAGGCTGGAGCCTGGCAGCTGAGGTCAGAGGTGAAGGTCACCTCCCCACTGAGGCTCCACCAGGTGGAGGGGCCGTCGGTGCCGTCTGACCCAGAACCTGACGCGTCCCCAGGCAGTGTCCCCACCCCCCACCCCCCGACTCAGCTCCCTGCTCTCCCCCCTGCTCCCCCCCTCCCTGCTCTCAGCTCAGTCTCCCAAGCGTGGGAAGTGGACACTTCCCTGGACGCAGACCCGGCCCCACCGTCAGCCCAGGCTCGTCACTGGGAGGGTCAGTACGGGGACCCCGTGGACGGGACGCAGCCGGTTCGCAGCCCTGGGCCTCGGCTGGGAGGCCAGCGGGTGCCCGTGCGCCTGTCCTGTCCTTCACCCCGTCCTGGGTGCTCCAGCCGCATGGTCTCCCTGGGCCCTCGGCTCCCGGCTTCCATCCTGTTACCCACCGGCTCCGGCTCCCCTGGGATGTCCGCCCCTGCGGCCCGAGCCCTGGCCCTCCTTGTCGGCCGTCCAGTGACTTGAAGACGTTGTTTCATACATTTTACTCATTCGTTTCACGCCAGAGGGTGAACCCACGCTCCTCCACGTGGGCCCGAAGCATCAGGGCCAGGGCGGGCTGCAGACCGCGCTCGGGAGGCCACTGGGGGGGGCAGGGGGGGGATGCAGGGAGCCTCACCCATTGACATTTTCCCATTGATGCCTTTTAGAGAGAGTGGGAGGGAAGGAGAGAGTAACATCGATGTGAGACACACTGGTTGCCTCCCACACGGACCCGGACCAGCCTTGGATTGAACCAGCAATCCAGGTACGTGCCCTTGATCGGGATTCGAACCCACAACCCTTCGGTCCTAACTGCTTGGGCCAACGCTCTAACCACTGAACCACCGGCCAGGGCTACAAGGACACTGCTGAGGAGTTAGAATGAAATACAGGAGCACCTCAGCACCACCACTCGCCTTGGGAGACGGACAAGGCGCGGGGAGTCTCACGGCCTTCGGCTCCGGGTGGACGCGGCCTCCAGTCTCGTCCTGCCGAGTCCCGGGAGCCCGCTGCTGATCGACGACAGGAGGACTGATAAACGCCAGCAGCAGCGGAAGGTCCCGGGGCCTGCGGAGCTCGGGGCGGCCGGGAGGCCGGGAGAAGGGCAGGGCCCAGACCCAGCTGCCGGAACCCAGTGAGCCAAGCAGGCCCTGTGCCCGCCGGCCCGCCCACTCCTCTCGCTCCTGCTCCTCGGCCCTGGGCAGGGGCACCCGACCCCCCGCTGCCCGTCCCGCTGGGCCGAGCTGGGACGGAGCAGACAGCGGGGGGCAGAGGGGGGTACAAGCCACCTCGTTGCTTCTGTGACTGGATCAGGCTGTGAAGACTCGCACTGTGGTGGGCGCCCCGAAGATCAGAGGAGGGGGTTTCATCCTGGGGGGGCCAGGGAATGAGAGGCCCTCCAGCCTTGGTCGCCTGCAGGGCTCCCCTCTGACCTCAGAGTTCAGGCCAAAGTCTTCGTTCTGGAGGGAAAGCCCAGGCCTGGGGCCCTGCGGATGGGCCGGCGCTGGGAGCAGCCCCGCGGGCCATGGCGTGGTCCCCCCCCCAGCGGCGTGAGGATGGCCATCAATGCGCCTCACGTTCCCACCAACGGAGCGGCCGTCCCTCCCGGGGCCGCCCTGAGCACCCCCCACCCGCTTGCTTCACTGGTCCCCCGCCTCCCCCGCGGCTGTGACCGGCCCCCTGCTGCCTAGTCTCTGGGGCGTGGCCTCTGCCGAGAGGGAGCCACCCGGACAGGCCGGCCCTCACCCCTGACGAGACGACACATTCAGTGTCCGATTTCCATTTATCGTTGAAATGGCCCCACGTGACCACAGACACAGCCACGCAGACATGCGCACACAGATGCACACACACGTGCATACACAGAGATGCATGCACCCATGGGAACATGCACAGAGATGCACACACGTGTGCACACAGACACATGCACAGATACATGCATGCACACAGATACATGCACACAGAGGTACACGCACAGACACATGTGCTCTGCTTGTCCCTCCACAGCCACCGAAGGCCGGGAGGAGGGATGAACAGCGAGCAGTGAAAGGGAGCCTTCCCGGCCGCTCCCCCGGGCGGAGCACGGACGCTCTGTCGGTGCTGCCGGGGCCGGAATTGGAAGGCGCTGATGGATCCCCCCGCCCCCGCCCCACGAGGCACCTGTGTGAGAGGCAGTCACACCGCCGGCTGCAATCAGGGCGCAGGTGACAACTAGTGACACCCCCTCCCCCCAGGAGAGCCGCCGGGGACAAGCTGGGACCCACGGGGCGAGGCCGGCCGACCCCTCCCAGGTCTCACGTTCACACCAGCCCGGCAGCTCCCCCTCCCACCCCAGGAGCCCGTCTCCATAACCACCCGCTCTCTGTTTCGGGGTGTCACGTTCCTGGGCGCCATGTGTCCCCCTGACATTCCGTGGCCCCGCCTCCACGCGCAGGAAGGCGGAACTTCAGGCTGAAAGGGGCGTTTTACACTCACACCTTGACTCGGGCGGAGTGGATTTTGCTGAAATGAATATTCCCTCTGGGTTTCGGCCAAACCTTGAAGTTTCATGCCCGGTCGCCTTTTCTCTCTCTTCTTTTTAAAGAAAATTAAAAGAGAGTGAAAGCGGGGTTCAGGAAGGAACGGCTACTTTTCAACAGGTCTGATGAGAGGGACGGAGGGAGGCGATGCTGATTCTTTTCAGGAAAGTGAGGTTGCCCTGCAGGCCTCGGGCCGACACTGCGAGGCCGGGCGGAGGGGAAGCCAGTGCCCGACCGCACCTTCCCCACCCCTCCCACCCACCCCCCGGCGCAGGCCCCCCTGGCGCTGGCCTCAGAGCCCTGCGTGGCCAACAGGGAGGCACCTGGGGGAGGCCCCCTGGGTGTGATCAGCTCCCCAACCCCTCTCCCCAGCCCAGGTGGCCGAGGCCCCTGTCGGTTCAACTTCACGGGGCATCACACCGAGCTGCCCACAGGACAAGTGCGGGGGTTCCAGAGGCTCGAGAAATACTCCCGGCTTCCCCCCCCCCCCCCCGCCCCCCAGCTGGCTGCCCTGTCACCTCAGGACTGCTGACGGCGTGCAGAGCAGGCTGAGCCGCGTGGCCCAGAGCTCAGCTCAGCCGGCTGCTTCCTGACTCGGGAGCCCGAGGAGGTGACCATGTGTCTGTGCGTATGTGCACGGCGCGGGGGGGGGGGCGCGAGCAGGTGAGGCCGGGGTCAGTGTAAGCGCCTGCCAGGCCCGGCTGCCTGTGCACCCTTCCCTCCCGGTGCCGAGCTCGGGCGGTGAGCGTGAGTGCTGGCCGCCTGGGGGTGGGGGCAGAGCGTGGACATGCGGACCGAGCTGTTCACTCTGCACGCATGGAGCGCAGCCTCACACAAGGGACAGGGGTCCGAGGCTGGGACCACTGACCCATCTCCCGCACGCGGCCGCGTCTCAGCACCACACCCTGAGAGCCGGAGCATTCCACGTTTGAGCCTGGCCTTAACGGTCACTCTCCAGGCGTCTCTGCCAAGGAGAGCGGTGACGTTTTATGGATTTCAGAGAGAGGAAAAGAGAGGGATAGAAACATCCATGAGGAGAGAGAATCGCCGATCGGCTGCCTCCTGCACGCCCCCATTGGTGATGGAGTCTGCGAGCCGGGCCTGTGCCCTTGGCCGGAATCGAACCCAGGACCCCTCAGTCCGCAGGCCGACGCTCTGTCCATTGAGCCACACCAGCGAGGGCTAATTTGCACTTTTTATTTAACCATCTGACTTCAAGAATGTGTCTGCCTTAAGACACAGCACAGGACTTCCCCAGAGCAGCTGGGGTTCCTCCTAAACCTCTGCAGGGGGAGAAGCTGCCACGCCGTGAGCGGGCGATGCAGGCCCCACGCGTGTAGCCGAATTCCGTCCCCCACCCCCACCCCCACCCCCATCCCGGCACCTTCCCATCAGGGGCCGCGCCTCAGGAAGGAAGTCCAGGAGCTCAGAGCCCAGGGCACCTCCCGGTTGGCAAGTTCTTGGCGGATTAGCAGCACGTCCTCCTGCGGTTCGTTGTCGCCCGTGCTCCTCTCCCTGCGCTGGGAGGCGTCGGGGACACAGGCCGTCCCCGCCCTGCCCGCGTTTCCGGGTCAGGCCGCTGAGTCACTGACCGCGAACGGCCCCTCCTCTCCTCAGCCTCCCCGGCTGCCTTCGTCTTTGAAACAAGAGGAAATGACAGGCTCTATTTTTCTTTTCTCGAAAGGGCTCCGGCCGCGGTCTCGGCGTTGGGACAGGGAAAGGGCTGGAATTGGGCCGCGGCCGTCGGAAGTGACCGGCTTTCCTCTCTTTGTCCTGCGAGGCCTGCCCGAGTTCACAGCAGGAAGGCGGCCTTATTCGCTGGAGATAATTCCCGATTGAATTCGCTGCTGGCCCGACGGGAGTGACCGGCCAGGCGGGGAGTCTCCGCGCAAAGGCCGCACCGAGGGTCCCGCCCGCCCACGGGGCAGGCCACGCTGGGCCTCGACATCCGTCCGCGCTGACGGTGCTCATGCCGCTCCACGCGCCACGCGCGCCACGCCCTCCGGGGGCGCTGGGCTCATCTCTCCCTCAGGGTTTGGCTGCATTGGGCTCATTTCCAAGGGATTAGGACCAGCTGGGTGGCTCTCAGCACCTACAATCAGGCGCAACTAGTCCAGGGCCCGCCCATGACGGGCCGCCCGTGACGGGGCCACCCATGACAGGCCACCCATGACGGGGCCACCCATGACAGGCCACCCATGACGGGCCACCCATGACGGGGCCGCCCGTGACGGGGCCACCCATGACGGGCCACCCATGACGGGGCCGCCCGTGACGGGGCCACCCATGACGGGCCACCCATGACAGGCCACAGGTGGGCTGCACAGGTGGGGCCCGCCTGAGCGAGGCTGCAGCTCCGGCCATGGGCACGGGCACCGAGGCGCACGGGAGCACAGAGGCCTCGGGCTTGAAGACTCGGACGTGTGGGGCCCCCAGGAAGGTGAGCAGAGGAGGGGGCGGGGCCCGGGGCCCCCCTGGCCTGGGGTCTCCAGCTGATCACAGGGTTGGCGGGGCCCAGGGCTGGGCAGGGGTCTCCGGGGCTGACTCAGTACCGAGCGCAGAAGCACCTGCCGCCATGGCCGCTGGCAGGGCCTGCTGAGCCCTGACACGAGACCAGGGTGAGGAGGGGCTGCCTTTAGGCGTCATCCGCTGAGCCTGGCAAGGCGCGGGCTGAGGGGCGCCCACGCTGGTGCCGCTGAAAGTCTGCGCATAACCGTTGACACCCCCGACCCATAACTGCCAACCAGCTACCACCGACTGGAAGCCCCGCCAACAAGCGGGAGCCGGCGATGGTGCGTGTCTTGTGCCTGTGTCATATACTGTGTCCTTACAACAAAGTAAACCCGGAAAAGGAAAAGATATGAACTACGAAAATCAGAAGGAAGTCCTGGCTGGTTGGCTCGGTGGATAGAAGGGTCCCAGATTCTATTCCAGCAAGGGCACAGGCCCGGGTTGTGGGCTCGGTCCCCAGTGGGGGGCGTGCAGGAGGCGGCTGATCCATGATTCTCCCTCATCATTAATGTTTCTATCTCTCTCCTCCCCCTCCCTTCCTCTCTGAAATCAATTAAAAAATATATTTTAAAAATCAGAATGAAGAGAAAATGCATTTATTGGAAACATTTTGCGTAGAAGTGGCCCCTGGAAGCTCAAGCCCGTGGAGTTCAAGGTCAGCGGTGGCTGCTGTAACTAACGAGCCACGCGGCCAGTGCTCCGCGCAGGAGGCAGCCTGGGCGCCGTCTCCTCCTTCCCCGGGGCCTCCGGCCGCCCGATCCCCCAGCGCGGGCCCGGGCCGGCCGCTCCCTGAGCTCTCCCGACCGGGTGGTGCGTGGGTGACGGTCATCGTGGCTCCTTCCTGCCTCGCTCGAGCTCAGAGCATTTAGTGGAGAGTTTACTTGGGTTTAATCTCCGAGGCGCACCAGCCGGGGGATGGAGCTGGGCCTGTGCTGCCCGGGGCCGGGCCCACAGCGGCTTCTTAACCCCGTGACCCCGGTCCCAGGCTCGGGGACACCCGGCCAGACCGGGCACGACCGTGAAGTCCGTGTGTGGGAGACGCCACAACGACCTGGCTCAGCGATAGGGGAGGCCAGGCCTGACCCCGGCTCCGAGCTCAGCGGACACGGACCCCCTCCCGCCGCCAGGCCTCTCTCCACAGCTCGTCCCAGTTCCCCGAGCTCTGGGGGCGCCCGGGGACAGGACGTCGCGGGCGGGGCCCTGTTGGGTGAGAAGCGCGGCTGAGCCCCTTTCCCCGCCCCCACCCGTAGGAGCTGCGGCCCCAAGCCCCCCAGGAAGGAGCTGTGGGGATGACGCCCCTTTCGCAGGTGAGGGGACGAAGGCACCGACAGGCCACCCCGAGACCAAGCCGGAACCCAGTCAGAGGCCAGAGGGCAGCACAGCGAGGCCCCGAGCCCAGGGCGGGGGCAGAGGTGCGTCCGACGGGCTGACGTCAGCCTCCCGGGTCCGAGTGGGGTGAAGGCGCCAGGGCTGGGGTGCTTCTCAGGAGGTCCCCCCTAGACAGCACGCCCCGGGAGCAGGAGCAGCCAGGGGAGGGGGGTGAGAGCGCTCAGTCTGCCTGCCCATGTGCCAGGGCCTCGGCAGCTGGCCTGGGTGCCCCCACCTCGGCGGAGGGGCCGTGGGGCAGGGCAGGGCAGCCCAAAAGGGCTGTGCGGGCACCGCTTTCCAAGGCCCAGCAGACGCCATTGGGCAGCTGGCTCTTCCCTGACCCCACTTGCCACGGGGACGGTGCCCAGCGTCCCCCAGGCCTGGCGCCCCCTGAGGCTGGGGTGACAGTGCCAGCAGGACCCCGTCCACAGCCCTCACCCCAGGCCGCTTCCTGAGAGGGGGTCCTGGCCTGGGACTCCCTGAAGGGCCGCTCTCAGGAGGAGCACAGCCCCCCGCACCGATGGGGGAGGCATTCTGGACCCCCCGCGGGTGTCTGACCCCCGATGGCAGCGCGCCCACCACGCCCACCACGCCCACCACGCCCACCCGCTCCGCGCTTCTCCGGCTTCTCTGGGCGGCTCTGCATCGCCAGCCTCGCTGCTCCTGTGTTTTGGGGCGTCATTAAGGAAAACGGGCCACATGCACACAGCACGGTGACACCCCGACAGCCGATCTCATCACCGACAGCGACTCAGTGACTAGCGGTGGGAGCGTCTGCAGGGGGAGACGGGACGGGGAGCCCCATTCCTGCGGGACCAGCGGACCCGGGAGGTCCCATCACTGCACAGGCAGCGTCACTCCGGGCCATGGACATGCAACCTCACGCCTGTGTCATCCTATTCACACGCCACCCCTGCACTCAGAGGGAAAAAGGGGTTATGTACATACATGTATGCACATGCACATACACGTGTGCATGTGAGCATTGCTTATTGTGTGCGCACACGTGCGCACGTGTGTGCATGTGTGTGAGTGCAAGTGTGTTTGTGTGTGCGTATGTGATGTGTGAGTGTGCGTGTGTGAGTGTGCGTGTGCGAGTGTGTGTGTTTGTGTGTGCATGTGAGTGTGTGAGTGCGTGTGAGTGTGCGAGTGTGTGTGTTTGTGTGTGTGCGCGCGTGTGGTTGGGGGTTTTTGCGACAATTTGAAGGTAACCCCTGGCCCTGGGCACGGAGCTGCCAGGCAGCCCGGCCCACCCTTTCCCACTGGAAGTCCCGCCGTCTTAGCCACTAAAGTAGCAGGTGGAATTTTCCTGTAAAGGGCAAGACAGGGAGTACTTGAAGCTTAAGAATAATATGCAACATGTGACAATGAATTCGAACATCACTGTGTATAAATAAAGTTTTATTGGAACACGGTGGTTTTCATCATGGATCAGCTACGGCTGCCTCTGAGCCCCAGAGCAGGGTCGGCAGACACCTGCCGGGACGCAGACGCCCAGCCTTCTAGCATCTGCCGTTGGAGAAAGATGTCGCTGCCTCCCCTGCTCTGTCAAGTAATGTTAGTGCTTCAATCCGCCGGCAAGCCCGGCCGCGGCTCAGGGGCTGAGCATCAACCTACGAACCAGGTCAGGTTCGATTCCCGGTCAGGGCACAGGCCCGGGTTGCGGCTCGATCCCCAATAGGGGGCGTGCAGGAGGCAGCCGATCAATGGTTCTCTCTCATCATCGATGTTTCTCTCTCTCCCTCTCCCTTCCTCTCTGAAATCAATAAAAATATTTGTTTAAAACCCACCAGTGGTGACCGCGTGCGTCCTGGCAACAGTGCAGCTGCTTGGCTGGACGGTGGCCGTCTGCCCACCGGGAAGAGGGGCCGTGCCCCAGCGCCTGCGGTCGCCGTGGTGACAGCACCAGGAAAGCGTGGGACAGGCGGCGTGATCGCTCAATCGGTGTGAACGGTAATCGTGTCCCGTGTAGACGGGAACCTCAATAAATACGGAAATCGAAGCCGCCCTCCGGTTTATGAGGAATGTGCTGCGGACACCGGAAAGGTCCTGTGGTCGGGTCCGGCTTTTCCGGGTCCGGGGACACCACAGAGTCTCCTTCACAGAAGGTACGAGTGAGCCAGGCCGGGGCCGGCGCCGCGCTCCGTAGCTCAGTAGAAGGGGCCCGCGCTCCGCGGCACCGAGGCGTCCAGGCCGCTGTTCATCCATATTTCCTGGATGATCTGCTCCCTGCGCTCGATCCTCTCCGCCAGCTCCGCGGCCTCGATGGACGTGTACGCGGGGTACGGAGTCCTGCGGAACCCCGACAGCTCCCCGGGGAAGCTGGAGGCGGAGGAGTCCTCGCTCCCCTCGGCGTCCTCGCTGTCCTCCAAGGCCCCGTCGCTTCCGGCCACCAGGCGCTCCCGCGCCCCCCGCAGCGCCCGCAGGTCCCTGGCGCAGGACACTCGGGCGACCAGGGCGCACAGCGTGAGGGCCAGGCCAACGCAGACGCTGGACACGAACAGCAGGGCGGCCCTGTCGGGGTGGGCTGTGGGGGAGAGGGCAGGTCAGGGGCGGGGAGGGCGGGGAGGGCCCAGGCAGGAGGCTAGCGCCGAAGCCAGGCCTGGACAGCGTCCCGCAGACCACGCGTCCTCGGCGATCACAGACCCCCGTGGATTAAAAAAAAAAAGGTTTGGAGCAGAGTCACTGCGTGTATGTCCGTGAGAGGACACGGGCAGAGGGGGTCCCCCCCGAGGTCAAACTCAGGTCTGCCTCTCATTCGCTGTGTGACTTCCTGCAGGACACACACCCTCTCTGTGACCAGCTTCCTTATCTGTAAAATGGGCCAATAGCGCCTTCCCATTAGAGTTCCCATGACGAAGTGAACTAATTCCTATAAAGCTACCAGGACACTCCGTCACGTATAGTGATGCTCAGTAAACTGTCAGCTATCAGTAGTCATAAACGTTGAAAAATTAATTTATATGGAAAGTTTAAATGTGCATGTAAGAACCAATATGTGATGTAAGCAAAGCTTAAGTCCTTCTAGATTAAAAAGAAAATACAGCCCAGCCAGCATGGCTCAGTGTCAGCCTGTGGACTGAAGGGTTCCGGGGTCGATTCCCGGTCAGGGCACAGGCCGGGTTGTGGGCTCGAAGCCCAGTGGGGGGCGTGCGGAGGCAGCCGATCCATGATTCGCTCTCATCGCTGAGGTTTCTCTCTCCCTCTCCCTTCCTCCCTGAAATCAATAAAAACATATTTATATTTAAAAAAAAGGGCCCCGGAGGGTGTGGCTCCCGGGACGGTCGGGCGGGTGCTGCCAGAACTTGCAGCCAGCGCTCCAAACTGCGGCCCGTGCCCAGGTGGGCCGTGCCCTCCCCTCGCCGGGACAGGCTCGGCTCTGCCCACCAGCAGGCTGCGTCCCACTGGCCCTCAGGGGAGATTATCCGGGGAAACTTGGCAGCTGTGCAAGGTAGCGGGTGACTCAGACAGGGGCTCTGTCTTCGCAGGGCACGACCTGTTCCTGGACTCAGCGATCTCTGGCCCAGTGTCCCCCAGCCCAGGGGGGAACGCGCTAATCCCAGGCCCTTCCCAGGATTCCAGCTGGAAACGCATTCCTTCGGCGCCTGCGTCTCAAAGCACAGGATGCCCGTGCAGCCCGCCCCCTTCACAGTGATTCTCCCGCCTGCCCACCCCCCCGTCCCCCCCTGCAGCCCGCCCTACACAGTGTGACCTCCCCTCCGCCCCCCAGTGGTTCCCCTGCAGCCCGCCCTACACGTGACTCTCCCGTCTGCCACCCCCTCCCGCCCCCAGCGATTCTCCTGTTGGTCGCCCGGCTGAGCTGGACCTGAATCCAGGCCTCTGTGTTTCCAGATCCCAGCAGACGACAATGCACAGGTCAACGTGAGGTGTGAAGTCGGTTCCCGGCCAGCGGAGCCTGTGAACCCAGTGACTCGCCAGCTCCCTGAGGGCGCCCGCCGACCCACCTCTGATGTAGGCGAAGGCTGCCAGGGAGCTGCTGACGAGGACCCCGTCCTTCCTCGGGACCCGCGACTCGCTGGGGTCGGCGTTGACACCTGGGTCATAACAAAGTGCAGGACGTGAGGCGCAGCGGCCACAGACCTCCACGCCGCCTGGCCATGTGGCCCAGTGGTTGGAGCATCGGCCCGCGCACCAGAGGGTCATGGGTTCCATTCCCAGTCAGGGGCACGAGCCTGGCCAGAAGGTTAGATCCCCGGCCCCAACGGGGCGCATGGGGGAGGCAACCAGGCGATGTGCCTCTCTTACATGGATGTCTCCCTCTCTCTCTCTCTCTCTCTCTCTCTCTCTCCCCCCCCCTCCCTCCCTTCCACTCTCTAAAAATCAATGGAGAAAAATACCCTCAGGTGAGGATTAACAAAACAAAACAAAAATCAAACAAAAACTAAGCCAGGAAGAGCGTTAAGGCGGGGCCCTGCAGACGTGAGACACAGAAGGGCCTGGGAACGCTAAGCCGCTCACCGCCCCTGCCGACGGGAGCGAATCTGTTTTCCTGTCCCAGCGGCAACGCGCGTGTCGCGTCTAGTAACGTCCGACTTCGCCCCGCGGCTGCTCTGTGAGCACCGGGAAGCCAGCCCCGGTCAGACGGGCGGCCGTGCTGGGTCACGTTTCTCGGAAATGACAGTCGGATCCTGGCTCCACGTTGGCGCCGGCTCGGGGCTCCCGATGGGGCATCCACGGAGCTCTGGCATGTCCGGCGGGGCCCAAGCCTCAGAGGAAGGAGGGCACGGGGTCGGAGGCTGCCGGGTGGTCACGGGACTAGAGAGAGCAGTGGGCGGGGCAGCCTGGGGGCTGGGGAACGCCAGCCATAATGATCCCAAACGTGAGCTGAGAGAGGGTTTCTGTTGCTCGGTGCTGCCCTGTCATGTGCACGTCCAGCGTGTTTTCACATGTAGGGGGCAAAGACCTCACCCATGTTACGGACGTAACACACAGCCTTCCTCACATACTGGCCGGTGTGGCTCAGTGGTTGAGCATCGAACTATGAGCCAGGAGGTCACGGTAGATTCCCGGTCAGGGCACAGGCCCGGGTTGCGGGCTCGATCCCCAGTGTGGGGCGTGCAGGAGGCAGCCGGTCCATGATTCTCTCTCATCATGGACATTTCTCTCTCTCTCTCCCTCCCCCTTCCTCTCTGACATCAATAAAAATATGGAAAAAAAAACACCTTTCCCCGCCCAGAGCTCCGCAGCTTCCACAGGGGCTGGCCAGCTCTACCGGGAGCCCAGGGCCGAGTTCCGTCCTGGGTCTGATGAGCAGACCGGAGGCTCGGCCCACGATGAGCAGAAGCCCTGGGGGCCTCCAGGAGGCGCGGGCGCCCAGACGCAGCGCGATCAGAGCCATCAGCTCGCCAGCAGCCCCGCAGGATCCCGCGTGTGTTCTGTGCACGTGTCTGTTTCGATTTGATTTTTCTTTCAGGAAAGAGAGTGGAATGGGGGGAGGACTTATTCTGGGTATAACTTTAAAAGCGAAATGAAGTGCTGGCCCCCACTGGCCGCCTTTGCACGGCCCGCGACACCCCTTCCCTCCGCCCTCGGCCGGGCCCCTGCCGAGAGGCCCCAGCGAGCCCTGCACGTTACCGTGGCCGCCGTCCTCGTCCTCCTGCCTCAGGGAAGGGTCCTGGTCAGCGAGGGCGGGGTCCACTGCTGTGAGGATGCTCCTGGGCACTAAGAGCCAGAAAGAGAGGCGAGATTAAACACTCAGTTCCCACCGGGGCGCGGGTCACGGCGCGTCAGGGGCACTCACGCCAGTGACCGCCCGACCCCAGAGAGGCCGTCCTGGGCTGATTGTGCAGCGTTCACCACGACAGCCGGAGAGGAAGTCAACAGAGCCTGGTGCCTTTCTCGCTGCAGAACAACCTGACACCACGGGGACGAACCTCAGAACGTGACACGCGGATCCCACGGATCCCACAGATCCCGCCAGAAAAAGCCACACCACAGGGACAGCCCACGGGAGAGGCTGGTGCCCCGACCAGAGTCCAGCACGGCGGCAGCCGTGGAAACCCGCTGCCTTAAAGGGTTAGGACATCGGCCGCCCCCAGGCCGGCCCCCTGGCGTCTGCGGGTGAAACCAGACACGGTGAGTCTCAGGGGTCTGGAGGGCACTGGACCTTGAAGAAAACTCTGTGTCGGGCTGGGGTCGGCGGAGCCGTTAGGAAAGGAGCCTGGCCTGCCGGGGGCTCGGTGCTTGGAGCGTCGTCGGTGAACCAGGTCGCGGTCCGGGTCCTGGTCAGGGCTCACACCAGGCTTCGGGCTCCACCCCTGTCGGGGGTGCGGGGGCAACTGATGGATGTTTCTCTCTTCTTCTTCCTCTTCCTCTTCCTCTTCCTCTCCCCCTCCTTCTCCTCTTCCCCCCCCCCCCTCCTCCTCCTCTTTCTTCTTCCTCTCAAATCAATAAACATATTCCCAGGTGAGGATTTAAAAAAAAACAGTAAAGAAAAAAGAGAGAAGCGTCGCAGGATGAACTCGGGCCCTAAGAATTCTGCATGTAAAGACTCTACTCTGTCACCTGCTCCTCCCCCTCAGCGGGTCGCGGCGGCACCTGCAAACCCTGGCACCGTATTCCCTGCTGCCCACATCCCAGCCCCTCCGCCTGCCTGGCCGGGTCCTCGAGAGCTGCCCAGGCTGGGGCCCCATGAGTTCTGTGCTCCCAGGAGGTGGTGGGGGGGTGCTGGCCATGCCCCTGAGCTGGTGACTCCCGAGACCATGGCTACAGGTCTGGTGAGAAGCCTTGAGGGGAGCTGGCCCAGGGCTCCGGCCTCCAGGCCTCTGCGCCCCAGCCCGTCCAGAGTGTGGCTCACAGTGATGCTGAAACTGCCCAGCCTGAGGCGGAGCAGCAGGTGGAAGGAAGCTACCAACAGGGAGGCTGTTCTTTTTAAAATGCAAATGGCGTGTCCCCTGAGGAAGTCCTTCCGTGGCCCCGTACCCTGCAGAGACAGGCTTAACCCCCACCCAGCCCCCCACCAGCTCTCACCTCCCAGCCCTGCGTGTGCCGTGTGCCCTCCTCCTGCATCACTGCGCTGACGCCTACACACCCGCATCTCCCTGGCCTCCGACGCCACCTCCCCCGGGCAGCCCTCCAGGCCCTGAATCCCCAGAACCCGATTCCCTGCATCTGTCCTGTAGGCTGTGAGAACCACGGAAACTTCCCCACCTCCCACCCACTCCTTTCGGCTTCAACCAGCTCCAACTGCTCCCGGGCCCACCCCGAGCCCTCCCTGAGGGGTTCGCCTGGACATTCCTCACTGACAGCCTCTGGGCTCCTCACACCAACGTCCTCGTCAGTGGGGAGGCCCCTTTAGACGGGGCAGGCGTGTGCAGCCGCTGCGATCAGTTAGCGGTTTGGGCCCCAGGGAAGGGCCACCGGGGCTTCCTGACAGCGCCAGGCCACCTGGGCTTTTAAAAAATATGTTTATATTTAATATTTTAGGGAGAGAGACAGAAACATCAATGAGGAGAGAGAACCATGGAGGAAGGGAGAGGGAGAGAGAGCCAGAAACATCGATGAGAGAGACATCGATCAGCTGCCTCCTGCACACCCCCCACTGGGGATGTGCCCGCAACCAAGGTACATGCCCTTGACCAGAATCGAACCCGGGACCCTTCAGTCCCCAGGCCAACGCTCTATCCACTGAACCACACCGGCCAGGGCTCACCCTTTGCTTTTATGCTCCTTAAAAACAACAGTCCACCGGCCGGCTCACAGGACCGGAACCCGCCTCACTCCCGAGAAGATCGGCTGCTGCTTTCCTTTTAAGTCGTTTTGTAGAACCGCAGTCTAGCGAGCCCAGCCCTGCACGTGGTTCCGTGGACACTAGGACAACCGTGTCCTGTCGTATTTCACTGCTGCAGAGCCGGCACTGGGCCTGCTGACTCGGCGCCGGGGGCTGTGGCTGGAACGGCGGCTGCCGCCCCGGAAATTCGTCATTTAGGGCCTAAAGGCACGGCCGGAGGGAGCTATGTTCCCGTGCCTCGCACGCCCCCCCCAAATGGCGCCTCCTACGAACCCAGATGAAGATCGCTGCTCTCGGTGACATCAGCTTCGCCCTGTTCGTTCCCTCCCCACCCTCCCCCTTGGCTGCCGATTCGATTGCTAAAGAGCTTTAACGCGGATTTGGACCAAACTCGGCTGCTTATCTGGTGAGCGCGTCATAAACAGCAATAAAGCCCGAGAAGGGGCCCTGGGCCCTCTGGGGGGACGACAGTTTCAGGAGCAGAGCCGCTGGGCTGGTTGGCGGCAGCTGCGCTGGTTGTCACGGCCACCTCCTCCGGGCAGGCCGCCCGGGCTGAGGGGATGATCTTACCGCAGGCGTAGGCGACGGTGAGGTACTTCCTGGCTCCGGGCAGACAGGGGCTCCCGAAGTGGTGGTCGTCGACGAGGACTCGGCATCTCTGCCGCCCGTAGCACCTCCGGGCCAGCACGTGCGACGCCGAGTAGGACAAGCAGTCTGCAGGCGGAACAGCAGCGAGAGCGTTAGGCTGCGTCCGGCACACGGCGCCCCATGGCCCATGCTGTGTCCGGGGAATGAGTACACCGGCCGGGCTGTCTCATGTGGACAATGGCTCTGATGACTCCTGGCTCAGGAAGGCCCCCAGCGTGAGCCACCTACCACGGAGGAGCCGGCCCCCAGATGGCCACAGACCACAGAGGAGCCGGCCCCCGGAGGGCCACGGACCACAGAGGAGCCGGCCCCCGGAGGGCCAAGTACCACGGCATGCTCCAGAGAGGAGAGAGAGAAACATCAATGATGAGAGAGAATCATGGATCGGCTGCCTCCTGCACGCCCCCCACTGGGGATCAAGCCCACAACCTGGGCCTGTGCCCTGACTGGGAATCGCACCCTGACCTCCTGGGTCCTAGGTCGACACTCAACCAAGCCACACGGGTGGGCCACTTTAAAACGCAGTCTCCTGCAAACGGTCCGAGCTCAGTGTGGCCCAGGGTGTGTCAGCCCCGACGGCCTGGGGCCTGCTCCTCCTGGTACGTGGCCCTCTGGGGCCTGAAGACCACTCTGGGTCCCGCACTCTCACCAGGATGAAGCCACTCGCTCCCTCGGTGACCAGGGCACAAACCTGCCTCGGTGAGTCACGCCACTCGGCCCGGCCAGCGTGGCTCAGTGATCAGTGACTCTCCCATCACTGATGTTCCTGTCTCTCTCTCCCTCTCCCTTCCTCTCTGGAATCAATAAGGATATATTTTAAGAATATTTTTTAAAAAATAAAGCCGTCTTTCCCTCCCAGCCTGGTTCTGTGTGCTCTCTTCCTGGCCACCTACCTTCCTCGCCGCCCCCCTCCCCCCCGCCATGTGATGGCGAGGTGCCCCTCCCCCCTGCATGTGAACACAAGATGCCCCTCCCCATGTATGTGATGAGGTGCCCCTCCCCCCTGTATGTGATGAGGTGCCCCTCCCCCCTGCATGTGAACACGAGGTGGCCCTCCCCCCTGTATGTGATGAGGTGCCCCTCCCCCCTGTATGTGATGATGAGGTGCCCCTCCCCCTGCATGTGAACACAAGATGCCCCTCCCCCATGTATGTGATGAGGTGCCCCTCCCCCCTGTATGTGATGACGAGGTGCCCCTCCCCCCTGCATGTGAACACGAGGTGCCCCTCCCCCATGCATGTGATGACGAGGTGGCCCTCCGTTTTGGTCTCCTGGCTGCTGCCTGACGCTGGCTCTGAGCGAGCGCCTTCGGAACCTGCGTGTCCTTAGGTGATGGCGGCTGCTCTCCAGGCTGTCTTGGCAGCGGGAGCCCTGGCGCCTGGATCTTCGCCTGAGAAGCCCTGGGCCTGCCCGCACTTGGCCCTGGGATGCCCTTCGCTCCCCCTCTGAGGCCACGGGTGGTTCTCCTTCTCTTATTAAGGAAACAGCCGAGTCCCAGGCGTCCACCCAGGAAATGTAACTGCAGCCGGACGGGAGTGTCCCAGGGGACGCCCAGCAGGGACCTGCCTGGAGCCCTGGAGTTTTAAAGTGGGCCCGGCCGGGTGGCTCAGTGGTTGACGTCGACCTGTGAACCAGGAGGTCAGGGTTCAATTCCCGGTCAGGTCACAGGCCCGGGTAGTGGACTTGATCCCCAGCAGGGGACGTGCAGGAGGCAGCCGATCAATGCTTCTCTCATCACTGATGTTTCTATCTCCCTCTCCCTCTCCCTTCCTCTCTGAAATCAATAAAAATATATTTAAAAACAAAAAGAAATCTTGCCCTGGCCAGTTCTCCACGGTTAGAGCGTCGGCCTGTGCCTGGAAGGGTCACGGGTTTGACTCCCGGTCGGGGCACATGCCTAGGTCTGGGGTGTGATCCCCAGTGGGGGGCACGGGGGAGGCAGCCAATGGATGTGCCTCTCGCACCCATGTTCCCTCTCTCTTCCCTCCCTCCCTTCCTTCCTCTCTGAGAATCAGTGGGCAAAGCCCGCAGGCGAGGATTAACAAAACGAAAGGGGAACAGAAATCTCTTCCTCCACCGGGAGCTCTGCGGCCTCGCTCTCATTCCTGCTGCCTGGGGGGGGGGGGGGGGGGTTGCGCAGGAGGACCCGGTGACCACAGTGACCGGCCCTCAGCGAGGCCTGGACACGCCCCCCCACCCCCAGGTCTGAGGGCCGGAGCCGCTCGGCGCTGCTTCCCCACCACCAGGCCCCACTGAGCCCCTGGAGCCGCAGAGCAGGAGGGAAAGCACCGTGCCCTTCCCGAGGCCTCGTGACCTTTCTGAGCCGGGAGAGACCCTGCCCCTCGCCCCGGGCAGGCACCTGCAGGCCCTGCTTCCCGGGGGAACCCACGGCCCTGCCCCCTCCTCCACGGGGGACTGCGGTCCTGTGGGAGCTGCAGGCGGAACACACACACACGCACACACACGCATGCACGGACACACACACACGCACGCACGCACACACACGCATATACACGGGCACACGCGCACACACACACACACACACAGCCGTGGCACGGATGTGGCCTGCAGGCATGTTTGGTTTGGCTCCCAGTGTTTTGAAAGTTGGAACATTTCACATGAAAAGAAAACAGAAATGGGTTTCCGATCTCCCGGGAGGTCAGGAGCTGGGACCACGCCGGGCCCACATTCCGGCCGCGGCCGTCCACCGCGACCACCCACCGCGACCACCCACCGCGGCCGCCCACCGCGACCGTCCACCGCGACCGTCCACTGCGGCCGTCCACCACGACCGTCCACCGCGACCACCCACCGCGACCGTCCACCGCGATCACCCGCCGCGGCCGTCCACCGCGACCACCCACCGCGACCGTCCACCGCGATCACCCGCCGCGACCGTCCACCGCGACCACCCACCGCGACCGTCCACCGCGACCGTCCACCGCGGCCATCCACCGCAACCGCCCACCGCGATCACCCGCCGCGGCCGTCCACCGCGACCGCCCACCGCGATCACCCACCGCGGCCGTCCACCGCGGCCGTCCACCGCGACCGTCCACCGCGACCACCCACCGCGGCCACCCACCGCGGCCGTCCACCGCGGCCACCCACCGCGACCATCCACGGCGGCAGCCGACGGCACCACTGGGGGCTCAGCTCCACGCACGCGGCACCCCCTGAAGGGGAGCCTCCGGCCGCAGGGGCACCTCCTGGGGCTGATTCATCCGTTCAGACCAGGAGCTTAAACCAGATGCTCTGGTGGCCCTGGCGGGGCTGCGTGGGGTTCAGCCTGAGGAAATGGAGGCCCCCCTCGCCGTGGCCGGCGGGCTCCGTGGTTGAGCGTTGACCTATGAACCAGGAGGTTCGATTCCCGGTCAGGGCACAGGCCTGGGTTGTGGGCTCCATCCCCAGTGGGGGGCGTGCAGGAGGCAGCCGGCCCGTGATTCTCTTTCCTCACGGATGTTTCTCTCTCCCTCCCTCTCCCTTGTTCTCTGAAATAATTCTTTAAAAAGAGAAAGAAATGGAGTCCCTTCTGCAGAAAGAGGTCCGAGTCCCAGGGCGCGTTATCAGCCGCCGTGTCCAGACAGACCAGGTGGCCCCTCGGGTGTCCGGGGCCTTGAGCAGATCGGCCTCGGCCACCTGGGCGCACAGGCCGGCCTGGCACAGGGAGGGTCCCTTGTCCTGACACGGAGGCCGGAGGAGGGAGGAGGGGTGACTTCTGAACACGCCTGTTACCTGGGAGGGGACGGGGTGCGGGACTCGCTGGTCGCTCCTGGGGCACGCGGCTGGGGTGCCCCTCACCTCTGCCCACCTGGCGGCCGGGCAGCTGAGACGGAGCCCTCTCCCCAGAGCTAAGGCAGCGCGGCCGGCGGCCCCCTCGGCCAGCCCGGGTGTGGTCTGCCTCCAACACCGCCCAGCATCCCGCCCGGCAGGTGACACGCCACGGACACGGCCTGGGCCTGGGCGCCGCCTGGTGACGGCTCGCTGCTCCCGGGGAGCCTGCCTGTGAGGGAGGGCGTTTAGGGCTTTTTCCCGATCAGACATGTTACTACGCAGGCGTCCCTTGTAGCTCAATGTTCCCTTTCACTTGGGGCCCATGAATACATTGCAGCAATTTAGCCTGTTAAGCAGCTCGTTGCAGATGCTGATGAATGCAGCTCAGTGCCTTGGGCGTTTCAGGGAGGGGGCAATTCTCTCTGGTGAGGTACAGGTGGGGGTTAACCATCACAGGCGGGGGTTTAACCTCACAGGGGGGGTTTAACCTCACAGGGGGGGTTTAACCATCACAGGGGGGGTTTAACCATCACAGGCGGGGGGTTAACCATCACAGGTGGGGGGTTAACCATCCCAGGTGGGGGTTAACCTCACAGGGGGGGTTTAACCATCACAGGTGGGGGTTAACCATCACAGGTGGGGGTTAACCATCACAGGCGGGGGTTTAACCTCACAGGGGGGGTTTAACCATCACAGGGGGGGTTTAACCATCACAGGCGGGGGGTTAACCATCACAGGTGGGGGGTTAACCATCACAGGTGGGGGTTAACCTCACAGGGGGGGTTTAACCATCACAGGTGGGGTGTTTAACCTCACGGGGGGGGGTTAACCTCACAGGGGGGGGTTTAACCATCACAGGCGGGGGGTTAACTATCACAGGCGGGGGTTTAACCGCACAGGGGGGGTTTAACCATCACAGGTGGGTGTTTAACCTCACGGGGGGGGGGTTAACCTCACAGGGGGGGGGGTTAACCATCACAGGTGGGGTTTAACCAAACAGGCGGGGGGTTAACCATAACAGGTGGGGGTTTAACCTCACGGGGGGGGGGTTAACCATCACAGGCGGGGGGTTAACCATCACAGGTGGGGGTTTAACCATCACAGGCGGGGGGTTAACCATCACAGGTGGGGGTTTAACCTCACAGGCAGGGGGTTAACCATCACAGGTGGGGGTTTAACCATCACAGGTGGGGGTTTAACCATCACAGGTGGGGGTTTAACCATCACAGGTGGGGGTTTAACCATCACAGGTGGGGGGTTAACCATCACAGGTGGGGGTGGCGGTTAATCTTAGGTGTCAGTTTAGTTGGGCTCTAGTGCCCAGTTGTCTGGTCAGACACGTCTAGATGCTGTGGAGAAGGCAGTTTTTGTTGTGGTTTTTTAATCCTCACTGGAGGATGACTTTAGAGAGAGCAGAATGGAGAGGAAGAGAGAGAGAGAGAGAAACACCGATGTGAGAGAGACACATCGACTGGTTGCCTCTCACGTGCTCCCAACCAGGGCCAGGAGCCTGCAACCCAGGCAGGTGCCCTTGACCAGAATCAAACCCGGGACCGGTCAGTCCGCAGGTCAGCACTCTCTCCACTGAGCCACACTGGCCAGGGCAGGAAGGTACTGTTTAAACTGTGACTGATGTTTATTTTTACATATTTTGTGTGACTAACGTTTAAACCAGGAGACTGTGCCTGACGCAGAGCCCTCCAGTGGGGGCCTCGCCCGCCCGAGCAGTGGAGGCCTGGAGGGCGGAGCCCGAGGTTTTAGAAAAAGGACGTTCTCGGGAGGCAGGTGGGTCTCCGTGGGCCTCGGGCCGGCGTCCTGCGAGCCGGGTCAGAGGCGGACTTGGCTCCTCCGCGTTCCTCGCCCGCAGGCCGCCCTGGGCGTCAGACTCGGGCCTCACCCGTCAGCGGCTCCTCTCTCCCCGTGTCTGCTGCTGGCCGTTTCCCGGAGAACCCGGCTGCCACAGGGAGGGGCCGTGCTGGCCTCAGCTCTAACCCGCCGGCTCCTAAGGGGCCGCCTGCTGACCCTCCACCTGAGTGCAGCCTCGGCCAGCGCTGGGTCCCTGCCCCGCACCTTCCCGGGGCCTGCAGCCTCTCCTCCTCCAGCTCTGCTCTGGCTTCACTGCCTGGCCCACCCCTCCCTGCAGCCCCTCCCTCCCCTCCCCTGCCCTCCCCTCCCCTCCCCCACCCCTCCCTGCAGCCCCTCCCTCCCCTCCCCTCCCCTGCCCTCCCCTCCCCTCCCCCACCCCTCCCTGCAGCCTCTCCCTCCCCTCCCCTCCCCTGCCCTCCCCTCCCTTCCCCCACCCCTCCCTGCAGCCCCTCCTTCCCCTCCCCTCCCCTGCCCTCCCCTCCCTTCCCCCACCCCTCCCTGCAGCCCCTCCTTCCCCTCCCCTCCCCTGCCCTCCCCTTCCCCTCCCCCACCCCTCCCTGCAGCCCCTCCTTCCCCTCCCCTCCCCTGCCCTCCCCTCCCTTCCCCCACCCCTCCCTGCAGCCCCTCCTTCCCCTCCCCTCCCCTGCCCTCCCCTCCCTTCCCCCACCCCTCCCTGCAGCCCCTCCTTCCCCTCCCCTCCCCTGCCCTCCCCTCCCTTCCCCCACCCCTCCCTGCAGCCCCTCCTTCCCCTCCCCTCCCCTGCCCTCCCCTTCCCCTCCCCCACCCCTCCCTGCAGCCCCTCCTTCCCCTCCCCTCCCCTGCCCTCCCCTCCCTTCCCCCACCCCTCCCTGCAGCCCCTCCTTCCCCTCCCCTCCCCTGCCCTCCCCTCCCTTCCCCCACCCCTCCCTGCAGCCCCTCCTTCCCCTCCCCTCCCCTGCCCTCCCCTTCCCCTCCCCCACCCCTCCCTGCAGCCCCTCCTTCCCCTCCCCTCCCCTGCCCTCCCCTTCCCCTCCCCCACCCCTCCCTGCAGCCCCTCCCTCCCCTCCCCTCCCCCACGCACTGTTCCCGGGGGCGCTCGTCCACACCTGAAACACGACCCATTAGCCCACCGCTGTCTGCCTCCTCACCGCCCCCCGCCCGCTGCTGGGAGGTCCACTCGCTCCGTGTGGACGCGTGTGGGCCCTCGAACACGCCCGCGCCTGGAGCAGGGCGTTGCATCCAGCAGGCGCTCAGTAACACTTGGTGTGGAATGAGGGACCATGGCCGGGGCAGGAATGTGGGGCGGCAGGAGGCCCTGTGTCGGGGGCTGGTCCCTCCTTGCCCTCGACGCGCCCTCTAACCCAGTACAAGCCACAGCGGGACCCACCCCTGCGGGGAGCCCACCTACCGAAGGGGGGCGGCCGGGCCCCCGAGGCGCACAGGTCCGCGTCCTGCGCCCGTCGGCCGTAGGCGGCCGCGTAGATGTTGAGGAACTTGGACGGGTGGCAGTGCAGCTTCAGCTCCTGGCCCTCGCACACCGTCTTGTTTTTCAGTTCATCTGGGGCAGAAACAAAACCGGGGCGTCGTCAGCTCGCGGGGAGCGCCGCCCGGGGGGGCGCCGGGATCCCAGGCCCCCACCCTCGGGGCCACCTGCGCGGCCCTCATGGAGCCCCCTCCACGGCCGTGGGCCCGGCAGGTGCTGCGGCCAGCGGTCTGACGACACGGAGGACGGCCAGGGACCCGGGGCCGCCACGCCAGGGACGGACAAGCCCTGTTTTCACCATTTAGGATTTTTTTTTCAATTGTGTATTTGATCGGGCCAAAGGTCAAATGTTTTCCTGACTCGGGCTGCAATCAAGCTATTGGGAGGCTCCCGGCCGAGGAGGCCTTACAGAGGCCTGAGCAGCAAACACCGGGCCCTGGGCAGGTGGGACCCCCGAGACCTGAAGCGGATGAAGCTTAAGCCCCAACAGGAGCACGAAAGAACATGATTTCCAAACATGAATTCCACTTCCTTTTTTATATGTATAGTATGTTTTTATTGATTTCAAAAAGGGAAAGGGAGAGGGAGAGAGACATCAGTGATGAGAGAGAATCACTGATCAGCTGCCTCCTGCACGCCCCCCACTGGGGATCGAGCCTGCAACTCGGGCAGGTGCCCTGACTGGGAACCGAACCTGGGACCCGTCAGTCCACAGGCCGACGCTCAACCCACTGAGCCACACCACAAAGGGCCGAACGCTGGCTTTGAGGCGGGCGCCCTCCCAGCTGGGAGAACACCCAAAAATGTGAAGAATGCCTCCGGGGGCAGAGCAGGCGGGGGGGGGGTGGGGGGGGCAGGAGAGGGCAGGATGCCAACCCGGCCGATCTCGGCACCTGGAGATGCTTCCAGGATGGGCTCCTTCCTGCGCCTCCTCCCTGTCTCCTCCAGAATGTTCTAAGTGATAAGTTCTATTTTGAAGGCACCACCTCCCCAAAGTTCAAGGCCGTTCACGAGAGGCAGCCCGAAGCCAGCCAGGCTCTCCCGGGTAACACCACACCCGCGGGGCGGCCTCCAGCGATCACCCCGATTACGGGCAAATCGCCGCCTGGACTGGGGGCCGGGGTGTCCCGACAGGCGGGGGTGACGGTGTGTCACGCTGACTCACCCTGTTCCTCGGGAATGTGCTAAGTCACCGTCGCCCGAGAGTGACATTTCTGGGTTCTCAGGACCATGGGGCCACGGACATAACGGCTCCTTTTCTAGGAGAGCGAGCGCTTGTCTCAGAGGCGGGGAGCGCCACGGGCGCGGGTTAGACAGGTGCGGGGGGCACCGGCCCCCACGGGGCTCAATGGGGAGAGCAACGGGCCGGGAGGAGGCGGAGCCAAGACTCTGCTCAAAGGACAACAGCAGCCCGGCCGGCCGGTGCGGCTCAGTGGTTGGGCATCAACCCAGGAACTAGGAGGTCACGGTCAGGGCACAGGCCGGTTGTGGGCTCGATCCCCAGTGGGGGGGACGTGCAGGAGGCAGCCGATCCATGATGTTCTCTCCTCAATGTTTATCTCTACCCCTCTCCCTTCCTCTCTCTCTAAAAATCAATGAAAACATATATTTTTTAAAGGAAAACAGCGGCAAATGCTCCGCACGGAGTTACCGGTCAGAGGCCAGTGCGTGCGACGCGGCCCAGCCTCGGGACCTGCCGGGTGCGGACGTGTCGTCACCGCCGCTGTTCACGCTCCAGTGCGGGCGAGAGGACCGCGCACCCGTGTTTCAGTCGCTCTTAGAAGTTTTAAATTCTTACAGGCAGTGCACCCGGCTGCTGCTGCGCCCAGGCCAGACCGTACCCCACCCTCCCAGCCACGCGCATGTCCCTGCCTTTCAGCCATTCGCACCGAGTCCTGGGGCCTGAGGGAGGTTCCCGTCACTGCCCGAGCCCACACGGCAGCTACACGGCAGCCGGGCCCCCTGGGAACAGGCCCTGAGTCAGGAGCACCTGCCACACGTGGGAGCGGGAGCAGCGGGTCCCGGGGACCCAAGGCCGTGCCCCTGGGCCCGAAGCACAGGCGCCTTCTCATTCGGGCAGGACTTCCCGACAGGAGCGCTGGTCCTGCATTCGCCCGAGACCCACAGCATCAGGGCAGCTGGGTGCAGAGTGGGCAGGCTTTCCAAACGCAGGTGCGGTCAGCACACATAGGGACACGGGCACCAGTCAGCATGCACGTGGGCACATGCATGGGTCAGCACGCACAGGGACGTGGGCACGGTCAGCACGCACAGGGGCGTGGGCATGGGTCAGCACGCACAGGGGCGCGGGCAGGGTCAACACGCACAGGGACGCGGGCACGGTCAGCACGCACAGGGGCGTGGGCATGGGTCAGCACGCACAGGGGCGCGGGCACGGTCAGCACGCACAGGGGCGCGGGCATGGGTCAGCACGCACAGGGGCGCAGGCACGGTCAGCACGCACAGGGGCGCGGGCATGGGTCAGCACGCACATGGGCACTGGCATGGGTCAGCACGCACAGGGGCGCGGGCATGGGTCAGCACGCACATGGGCACTGGCATGGGTCAGCACGCACAGGGGCGCAGGCATGGGTCAGCACGCACAGGGGCGCGGGCATGGGTCAGCACGCACATGGGCACTGGCATGGGTCAGCACGCACAGGGGCGCGGGCACGGTCAGCACGCACAGGGGCGCGGGCACGGTCAGCACACACATGGGCACTGGCATGGGTCAGCACGCACAGGGGCGCAGGCACGGTCAGCACGCACAGGGGCGCGGGCATGGGTCAGCACGCACAGGGGCGCGGGCACGGTCAGCACGCACAGGGACGCGGGCACGGTCAGCACGCACAGGGGCGCGGGCAGGGTCAGCACACACAGGGACGTGGGTATGGTCAGCACGCACATGGGCACTGGCATGGGTCAGCACGCACATGGGCACTGGCATGGGTCAGCACGCACATGAACGCGGGCACGGTCAGCACGCACATGAACGCGGGCACGGTCAGCACGCACATGGACGCGGGCACGGTCAGCACGCACATGGGCGCGGGCATGGGTCAGCACGCACAGGGGCGCGGGCACGGTCAGCACGCACAGGGGCGCGGGCATGGGTCAGCACGCACAGGGGCGCGGGCATGGGTCAGCACGCACAGGGGCGCGGACATGGGTCAGCACGCACAGCGGCGCGGGCATGGGTCAGCACGCACAGGGGCGCGGGCACGGTCAGCACGCACAGGGGCGCGGGCATGGGTCAGCACGCACAGGGGCGCAGGCACGGTCAGCACGCACAGGGGCGCGGGCATGGGTCAGCACGCACATGGGCACTGGCATGGGTCAGCACGCACAGGG